GGCCCCGGTTGTTCAAAGCATGGATAACTTCTTATCCGCTGGATAAATCGCTATCCAGCGGATAAATTTTATCCATGGCGTCATATCGGTTGTTGAAAGCATGGATAGCGCTATCCACTCGCTATCCAGCGGATAAATTTATCCACGGTTAGGAAGGTAGTATAAATTTTTATCCACCGGATAAACACACATAAAATGGCCGCTCGACAGTTACATCTTCTTCGCTGTAACCTTCCCGAAAATCAACATCGAAGAAAGAGGAGAATTTATCGCCGCCAACTCGATCCGTTAGGAACATGCACAGACGCTGAATTGAGATCCAGGTATCGTTTTGGACGAGAGGCGATACAGTACATTATTGGCCTTGTTGCAGACGATATCGCTCCCCAAACAAATCGCAACCGTGCTGTTCCAGCTATAATGCAAGTCCTTATCACCCTCAGATTCTTAGCTTCGGGTTCGTTTCTTCAGGTAGTAGGTGACACTTTTCAGGGATTTGACAAGTCGACTGTCAGCCGAGTTGTTCGCCGGGTGATAAAAGCCTTGACTGCAAAGTTGGGCGATTTCATAAACTTTCCGTGCACTCGTACAGAACGAGACGAAATAAAGCAAGGTTTGTTCAGAGTAGGTGGTTTTCCCTGTGCTATCGGGTGCATCGACGGTACCCATGTCAGAATAAAGGCCCTCACGAAAACGAGCCGAACTTCGTGAACCGGAAAGGATTTCACTCAATCAATGTCCAGGCAATCTGCGACCATCGAGGTAAGCTAGTTTGTGTTGCTCTCATTATTTGTATAGCAAAGGGTAACATTCCGTTTAACCCAAGCTTTACTATGCTTACTATCTCATGTGTATTTCAGGTATTATTTTTTCCCAAATATGAGCATGAAAACCGAAGAATTTCCCTTTCAAACTGTAACGCTTTTCTGTCACGTAAGGAGGAATGTGCGAGTGATTGGCTTGAGTAAAGCATGTGAAGAATCATGTGATTCCAAGATTCACACAAGTACACAATTTATGATGAAACGAACTGAACGAGTTGATTGAAATTTTCGAACCGTGAGATCTCCCTTTGTATTCTGGAACTCTCAACTGTAACCGATTTTGTTTGCTAACAAGTGTTGAACCTTTCGAATGGTGACATGAGCGCAAGGAAAATATTCTTCGGTGATCACTAGATGTATTTTCCAACATGGACATTTTTCCGTGGACTGTGTTGGTTTGAGTGCTGAAACATAACATTACAGAGCATTCTCTCGCTATTAAGTAGCATTGTTTAATAGCATGTAATTTGCTGTTACTCCAAGATACATGTCAAGAAATCTCTTGGAATTTACCATATCTAGAAAAGGGATAGGTTGAAGTTAATTGATGTTAGTTATAAACTGTAGTTAAATGCAAGCGGCAATCCCGTTTCGAACACTTTGTTTTGACAAAATGAATTTAAAAAAATCTCACGATTACAGCTTCAAATTTAGGGTCTGTGCGTATGCTCACATTATGAAACTTTTATGGGAATACAGTTTTAGGCTAGAAAGATGTACACTTGTACTATAAATAGCTAATTTTTTTCACTGGGAATGTTGTGATAGACGTGAAAACCATTTGTGTTGCATTGAATGTAATTGAACTTTTTGGGAATGTTTACAAATGTTGTGGCTAGATGGCCTGGCTCTACACAGGACAGCCACATTTTTCGAACATCAGCCATAGGGCGTGACCTGGAAGGGACTGGTCTGACAGATGGTGTACTTCTTGGAGATAGTGGATATGCATGTTCCCCATTCCTCATGACTCCCTATCTGAATCCCAAAACACACCAGGAGGAACGTTTCAACAGAGCTCACAAAATAACGCGATGTACCATCGAGCAAACTTTTGGGGCGTTAAAAAGGAGATTTCATGTGCTACACTGCGAAGTAAGGATGGCTCCTCACAGGGTGTGCTCAATAATTGTAGCTTGTTGTATTTTACACAACCTTGCTATAAGTTTAAGGGAGCCAGATCCAGAGGACTGTGAAATGGATGATGAAGGGTGTGCTCCTGACCTTCACAGTCAGTATCATGGCCGTGAAACTGGTAATGCTGTTAGGGAGCACATTGCAAACACTTTTTTTTAAGTTCTACACTGGGGGCTCAAGCTCAAACATACATTTGATTGCAAAAATGTTGACATGTACTGTAAATGGTATGATCCATCAACAATGCGACCCAATGGCTTTATGGGAAAAGTTTGCATGCTTTCAAGGTTAATGCATTATTTATTTCACTGTTCATGGAAATCTTTGATGACCACAATACTTTCCTTTCAGGAAAGTGTGGATGGCTGCTATATACTACATACAACTAATTGTGGTTATTGTTTTCATGTGTAACAATAAAGCGTTGGGTGTCATTGTTCACTGCTTATGCTTTTTAGAAGTCTGTGTTTTTGGAATATTTTTAATTGATTCACTTGTACATAACACAAAAAAAATACAGAAATAACAATGCGAACTTAAACCCAACGAAACTAAAATACAACCAAAGGAATACGAAAAACTACAGAAAAATACAAATGAAAGCGTAACTACTTACAAGATCTGTACGGCACTCCGGAATAACAAGGACTGAATGAAAATTACAACTACGATGTTATATAGCGGATAAACGCTAAAACAATGGACTAAACAAGGCTACACAATACTCAAAGGCGATTACATGAAACAACGCTGACAAACTTAATTTACATTTTGACAGCACGAAAAAATACAAACTAATAAATACAGAACTGAACTATCGAGACGAGAACTATTTACACTAATTACAATTAACAAAGACGAACGACAGAACTGATAAAAAAAAAATGA